ACACAGAACTGACGGATGGATGGATGCAGGGATGATGGATAATGAGGATGGATTTAGGCATGATGGATGTATGAGGATGGATGCAGGGATGATGGATGGATGAGAGATGGATGCAGGATGATGGATGATATTTGGATGATTGATGGATGATCATGGATGATTGATGTATGAGGATGGATGTAGGATGATGGATAATGAGGATGGATGTAGGGATGATGGATGGATGAGGATGGATGTAGGGATGATGGATGTATGAGGATGGATGTAGGGATGATGGATGGATGAGGATGGATGTAGGGATGATGGATGTATGAGGATGGATGTAGGGATGATGGATGTATGAGGATGGATGTAGGGATGATGGATGTATGAGGATGGATGTAGGGATGATGGATGGGTGTATGATGAGTGGATGATGTATGATCTGAAGTAGAGACAGCAATGATTGAGGAGGAAACATTGATTCATAAATCAGAGAATAAATGAATGAAGTTATTTTTAACCATCTTCGCACACGTGCAGCAGCATTCATTCACACAGTCTGGGTCGTTCACGTGCACACATTCACATTTGTTTCAGACAGCACGTGAGCGTGTTTATGATCAGACGGACACGCCCCCTCTGTGACGTATGATCGATCATATCAATAACAGATCAGCTACATCGCACAAATCATCATGTATGATCAACTCTGTTTGTACACACACACACACACACACACACACACACACACACACACACACGCACACACACACACACACACACGCACACACACACACACATACGCACACGCACGCACACACACACACACACACACACACACACACACACACACACACACACTACCTGCGTTCCGTAGTTTCTTGTTCTTGAGCACGGACATGATGACCAGCAGGTTCCCAGCACGTCCACCACCGTGGTGAAGATCAGCACGCTGGCCAGCGCCGTCACTGCCCAGTAGGGCGCGCTGCTCCCGGGCTCGGCTCCGGCCCATGCCCGGTCCAGTTCTCCAGCACAGCCTCCTCCGCCGGCGGGTCCATCCCACCCGGTGTTCCCTGTTCACACCCCGCGGTGTGTGTGAGGGCTTCCCGCATGCTGTCACGGCCCTGTCACGGATCTCTATGTGGTTCAGCCTCCTCTGCTCTCTTGTGTCCTGAGTCCGGAGCCGCTCTGCTCCGCTCCGCTGCTGGTCCCACGGAGCGGCCGCGGGTCGACCCATACACCGTCAGGAGCCTGATGTTGGACCTCCTCCTCCTCCCGCTCCTCCTAGTCCTCCTCCTGCTCTGCCTCTCCAGAGCTCCTGCTCCTCATCGCTCCTTTTTCTGCCTCACACACACACACACACACACACACACACACACACACACACACACACACACACACTACCTCTCCTTCCCCCTCCTCTGTTGTCTCTGGGACTGGATGAAACTCTGAGAGCCTGCGCTGCATCCTAATGTGTCTCTACGCTATCTGAGATGTGATGTCTCTTCACTAGAAGGATTTTTTTTTCAATGCGCTGATACTATTTTAGACATCACAAAATAAATAAATTAAATGTTTGAGGTCTGTTTTTCTTATTATGTTATTGTAGTTATGAATGTTAAAACAAAGAGTTTTGAAAACATAATATCTGGTTCAGGTTCACATTAGAAAATAAACCATGTCTGTCTCAAAACAAAAGTGAGTTCTAAAATAATCACAGCCATGATCTTAGGGAGAGGATGCTCCGCCCACTGCGTGTGTGTGTGTGTGTGTGTGTGTGTGTGTGTGTGTGTGACATTGGATCTAATTAGAAGTGTCTTTTAAACATCAGCAGTGCCCTGTGCAGAGTCACACCACAAAATCCACAAATATGAAGAAAAAGAGATAAATAAAGAAAACAAAAAGAGTCACAGGAAAAGAGATTGATGGCGGCCCTTAAGGTCAACCAAAAAAACATTGAAATTAAATTTAAAAAATTGGTCAGAAAAACATTTCATGAAACTCAAAAACATTTATTGAAACACAAATACATTTCCCTAAAGGCAATTTTGTGAAATGAAACAACAGCTGTATTGAACGTTTTTGAGTTTTTATGGAATGTTTTTTCCATTTTATGAAAATACGTTTTCATTCAGTGAAATATTTTTGCAGTTGACCTTCAGGGCCACCAGAGCGACCAGATTATTATAAATTACCACGATTGGATCTATTTACAGGGTTATTTACAGAGGTCTTATGTCCAGTAAAGGAAAACATCAGCCATGTGACTTTCATAAATCATCCAAAGAGTTCTTAAACATTAAGTATGTATATATTTCAGTCAGACAACTCACATTTGCGTTTGATGTGACTAGAGATGGGACAACATCTTAAAGCTTCAGTTGGAGTCTTCATGTGGATGCTGGGGCGCTGGTGGGGCTGAGCTGTAGAGTGCAGTACTGGTGCAGGTCAGAGGAGGTAATCAAAGAGCTTTTAGGAAGGAGGGGTTGTCAGGTGATTGTGGATAATGATGCATGTCAAAGTGTGAAATCAGTGCAGCTCGAGTTAACTGTCTGAACTAGCTTGCAGGGCGCTTGCAGGATCTTATCATTCAAACATTTGGGGGATAAAGTTTGTAGAGTATCCAGAATACTTCCCTTTTATTGAGAATGTGCTCATTGTTACTGTCTCTTTAAAACAGAGCTTACATTGAATTAAGCTATCTCTCTCTCTGTAGTTGTGTTCTGCTCATTCACATCTTTTTGCTCTCTGTTAATTGTTTGGTTTTATCCCACAGTATTTGCTCCTGTTTTATAAGCCTGTTTTATCATTGTTTCTTCACTTTATTGCCAACCTCTTGGAGCTTCTCTCCTGTGCTGAAGGTGCCACAGAAATAAAGTTTTATTGTTATTTTTAAGACCTACAATAAAGAAAGGATGTTATGAAGACAAAAAAGACAGATAACACAGATAAACAAAAAGCGGATCAGCTGGTTCTAAATAAAGATGTTCATTCAGTAAATTAGGGTCCCATGTAGAGTCAATTAGAGAAGAAAAGAAGGGAGGAGTTAAGCGGGGCAACCTTGGAGCGAAAGGTCAAGATGAACTCTGACCTTACACAAAGCAACATTTCAAGTGGTTACGGACAAATTTCAGAAGTTAGAAAAAAATCCTGAGGTATCAACTAGAGGTGGATGCGTTCCTGTGATCTTGGTCGTTTGGCGTCAGGCGGTCATAAAACTCAATCCGATCTGTTTTAAGGAAGTCTTTTTCTCATTTAGGCGTTTTTTTTGGTTGCACGTAATGAAATGGCTTCATTTAGTTTTCTGTTCACCAGTACAGAAAGTAAGTCTGTTGATATTGTGAATATGTTTAACGTCACATTTCATTGATATAAAATGATGACGGACTCTCTTGCCTTTGCCACTTTGTCGTTCTTTTCACGTCATGTCCTGCCTCATGGGACTCCCCTCCATCAAACAGGGGAAAAGGGGTGCACGTGTAAATAAACACCTCAGGGAGATTTCAGGAGCTGCCTGCCAGAAATTCTAGAAATTTTCAGGAATGCATGTGAGTCCCACACAGGCTGCAGGTTTACAGTGGCGCACACACACACACACAACACACACACAACACACACACACACACAACACACACACAACACACACACACACACACACACACACACACACACACACACACACACACACACACACACACACACACACACACACCCCTGTTTGGGAAAACACCACCTGACAACTTGGCTTTTGGCAGGTATGCAACCCAGCTTCCTCTAACGGTCAATATGAGCTCCTCTCTCCTCGTCTCATCATTGCCTCCTCAAAAACGTACAAAGCACACACACAAACACACACAACACACACACACACACACACACACACACACACACACAGTCTGGACATGAGCCAGTTTAATTCATTTACAGCGAAATTGGTCGCTCTCTGTGGAGCTGCTGAGTGTGCAAGGCTTCTGCTGCTGAAGACACGAGGGTGTGTGTGTGTGTGTGTGTGTGTGTGTGTGTGTGTGTGTGTGTGTGTGTGTGTGTGTGTAAGTGAGTGAGTGAGTGAGTGAGTGTGTGTGTGTTACACAGGTGTGTGAGTAATCCAGCAGGTAACAGTGGGTTGGCGTGCTTCCTCTGTGATTTAACACCATGTGTTCTGTAACAGATGACAGCATTAAATTATTTAAATCTAAAAGAAAGAACAAAGACTCCTGATGATCAGACATCTGCTCTCTGTCCATGGTGCTGAAATAAACAACAAACTCAAACTAAACAAAAGCAAGTCTGTTGGTCCTGTTGTGTTCTGCTTAACATACAAACGTTGTCAATATGACAGGGAGGTTTATGTCTGAGTCATTACCCTGATGTCACAATACCATACCTTAGCTTTAACTGAAGTATATCCTGTTTGCACTCAGGTTACAGATTTCATCAAACAGTTACTAACAAAGCTCATTTAAAAAAAGAACAACTTGACACAATCTGGTGGTTCCAAACTGTTAACAAGCTTGTTGTATCTGGCATCAATCAATGATCAATTCTATTAAAGGCAGGGAAAAATAGACCTTATAAGGTATGACAGAATGATGCCTGCCAGCTGGTTCTGCTCTACCTCTACCTGTGCTTCACTCTTTACACACCTGACATGTGTCCAGGGGCATTTTCAGGATTTCTAGGCCCATGAAAAGATTTCACATTGGTACCCTCCACCACAGCCGCAGTCATCCCTGAAATATATAACCATACGTCCATAACACAAATGATGAAAAGATTTAAATGAATTCATCAACACTTGGCACATCTACAAGAAAAGGTGCAATGTGAGAAGAAGAGCCCAACAGTAATCGTATTGAAACTCCTACACACCCACTCAATTGCAGAAAAACCATTGGCACTGTGGGATTTATGTGTTGGACTGTGTGAACACACGTGCAGTCCAAAAGGCATAAATCCCAGAGTGGCCATGTTGCCAATGTCTGACACATAAATCCCTAAGTTTTTGTGTAATCTAGAGAGTGCGCAAGATTCATTGCATGCAATTGTATCAATCAAAAACCATAAATTACTCTTCCTCCATTGGGGCCCTTGTTAGTCACTACTTCGCCTATGCAGGTCTCACCCTCTCCACAGTACCCCTAAAAACACACCCTCCCAGTTTGGAGGTGATGGATAGCTGAAACAGTGAATGTGCCATAACTCCCTCTGCTGCCCTACAACAGTACTGCACTGATACTTTCACTTTAAGATTCAAGATTTGTATTTGTCACATGCTCATACAGATGTGCAGTGACTGTTCCGTAAGGCCATGCAATAAACACTCAAATTACTAAAACACATAAATACATTAATATATAAATATAATGTAAAATTAAAAAATAAATATTTGAATATACAAAATATAGAATAATGTAAACAGTGTAAAGTGTCAAAGTGCAACGTGCAGATTGGAGTGTGTGGTGTGTGTGCATCATGTAGTCTCAATTCTGTTTTTTATTCATGAGGTGTTTTTAACTGAGGAGAGTGGAGTTAACAGTCCGGACAGCCTGAGGAAAGAAGCTCTTCCTGAGTTCACCTTGATGTACAGTATTGCTTCCACCACTACACCCAGCATCCACCTGCAGGCTGGAGGTTTACTCCTCAGATTTCTGCATGTGTGGTTCATTTTTATAAATAAATCAATGTTGATAGGTCTCTGGAAAAGTTTGTGTCCTCAAAATGTGCAGACTTTTAAACAGATATTCATACGCTGACCTTCCTGCTGTGTTGTCCATTAATGTGCTCATAAACACTCCTACATGTCCCAACCCCCTTCTCCTCCTCCTCCACCACTTTGTTCCTGGTAGCTGTAGAGGGTAACTCCTGCAGGGGTCGATCCTTGAGGCATCTCTGTGCCGGTCCGTGTTTGTATCATGTCAAAGAGTTCACACAGCTCTTTGTGTTTTGTGCATCTGTGGCATATTTTCCTCAACCTCTTGACTAACTCTTACTTCTCTCCTGCTCCTGTCTGTTCTGTCTGTCTTTTGTCAGTGTTTGGTTTAACATCATCTGCTTTGCATCAGTATTGTCTATTTTGTATTTTTGTATTTTATTTGTCATTTTAAACATCATTTAAATCTGTGTTGCAGTATGTTCCTGATATTAAGAGGGTGTATTAGAAAGATAAGCAGACAGGACTTCCTCTCTGCCTTTAAGAAACACAGAGACGCTTAGCGCTCCTTCAGCTCAGTTAATCATATTTTCACATTTTCTGTTACAAGATTCAAGTTTATTCATGTTGCACCCAAAACACACCCTGTATGTGCAGCCTCTTTGCACAATGTGCTTAATTTAGCATCCAGATTTTGCACATCGTTAATAGAAGAATGTAGTCTGACATGCACCAAATCACTTTGCACTCGGTCAGAACATGGCCGGAAATATTTTATTGATTTCTCATCAACAGGGTGAAGTGTTAAAGTCTAAAAGGTATCAGCTTAAAATAACTGGACTGAAAAGTGATTCCTTTTCTCCTAAATCCTTTGCTGAGTGGTGCTTTTATAATCTTGATTCTGACTCTGGATCCGGGTCTTGTATTGAGAGTGTCTCAGTGTGATCACTTTAGATCTGCTGCAGCACAAACACCTTGAAGGTGAGCAGGAGGCAGCAGCTTTATGAATATATATGAGAGTGCTCTAATGATAACGTTGCATTATTCACCAAGTCATCTCCATAAATCACTCTAATGACATCATTACACCACACACACTCTGCTAATGCACATGTCTAATCTTTGTGTGTGTGTGTGCGTGTGTGTGTGTTACACCCTCAGTATTAACCTGTGACAGTCTGCAGGTGAAACATGGTCACCCGCAGGTTCCAGGCAGCACAGGCTCATTAACACTTGACATGATGCCATTAATGCTGATTAAAATGCAGGTGACCTTTGACCTGCTCCATCAGGTTAGTATTAACCTTGGGGAGCTTTTGCTTCTACATTAGCATACTGTTTTTTTAATCTCTTAAACATTCAGCGAACTGTTAATATAAACACAAACATCAACTCAACAGACACAAACATCAGTCTGGTTCTTCACATGTAACAAACTCTGCTCAAAGCAAAAGAAGGATTTATGAAAACCTAATGAATCCATGTACATGTACCAAAGGTTTTTATGACACTAGAATGTTAAATTATGATGTGACTCTAGTAAATCAAACTGTATCAATACCTGTTTGAAACCACTGCAACAAAAGCTTTAAGTTAAAATATAACTTGAAGATCTATAAGAACCAGAGAAACACAGACACCTGAGAATGCAGACTCACATGAGTTCAGTAAAAAGCAGAGTTTTCATTAAAACAGTCCAGGTCGGTACACAGGTAGGCAATAAGCGGTGCAAACAAATCCAAAAGGGCAGGAGAAATCACTCCAAGACTCACAGGTAGAACAGGCTGAAACAAGGGAACACACAATAAATGAATAACAACAGGGAGGACACAAGGGGATCGTATACAAAGACAATTAGGGGGTAATGAGACACAGGTGAGCACAATCAGGGTGGGGGAGCACAAGGGGGTGAAAACAGGGGAAAGGATCTGAAAGACAGTGGCCCTTTCTGAATTGTCACAGTTCAGTATGCAGTACGTACTATTCAGTATGGAGTTTCAGTATACTGAACATTTCAGTATGGATACTAACTTCCTGGTTTCATGCAGTATGGATCGGATGCGTGCTTTCAGGAAATGAATTGTGTTTTACCACCCACAATGCTGTGCGAAATTAAATGTAAATCGTCACGTCACGCCACTTCTCCAAATCAAAACAAACGAGCGTGGATTAATTTAATCAATTTTTAATCTAGAGTTAAAGTCCCGACTGAAATCACTACTTTTAATTAACAACAGAAAATATAACAAATATCTGCATTATTATAAAACCTTTCCCACTCTATTTACATAATGATTTCACTATTTAAATGTGTCTTTATTGGTTTATTTTATATTCTGTATATTACTGTCTTTCATTTGTTCTTTTCTTTATGTACTGTATGTTATTTAGTTATTTAATCTGCCTTTTACTTGATTTACATTGTGATATTGTTTTGTTTGACTGTGACTGACTGACTGTATATGCACATTACTCTTCTTGAATAAAGCTAAGCAAAAAAAAATGGGTGAATGCGGCCAGTTCGGGAAACGTAAATGACGTCACTTCCATACAGAATGAATCAGACGAAGTATTGAGTATGTACTTGGCAATTCGGATACAGCCCCTGGCCGTATCCAAATTGCCAAGTACATACTCAATCTTTCAGTAGGCAGTAGGCAGTATGCAGTACCTACTATCCGTGCTGCATACTGTTAGTACCTACTATTCAGTATGCACACACAGTAGGCAGATATTTGTGCCTACTTCGTCTGATTCATTCAGTATGGAAGTGACGTCATTAGCCCACCCCATGTTATTGACACTCCAACTCAGATGAGGGCACTAATGATCCCTCTGGCCAAATCATGAATGGCCCCATGGCTGACAGAATAAAAGTCAGCTGTCAACATCCGAATTCTGAGTTGCATTCACCATGTGGACACCGCAGCGTGTTGCTATGGAGTTAGTGCTAGGGAGAAGAAGGCGAGCCAGGAGAAGAGCTCGGAGAAGACACTTTTTTCTCCTCCTGGCCTTGATGGAAGAGGTGAGTTCATGTCATTTTACAGGTAGTAGTGAAAAGTCAGGTTAATCATTGAATTGGCGCTTTGGTCACTGTGTGAAGGTGCAATACAATGAGTTTACATAAGAATGAATATAAATAAAGTATCATGAAGCTAACCACACGTAAAACACTGGAGCAGGGTAACTTTAGCTATATAGTCAGCTGATTAAAGTTTGTTATCTTATTATTAACCATAATGCAGTTAGTTATATAGTGTTCATCTTGTACTTGACCATACATACATGTAGCTACCGAAAACATTTCCATGTAATACACACCAAATGCATATTAAAACTGTGTGGCATTGGGAAAAACTGTTTCTAGTTATTAATAGTTTGCAATTGACAAAGAATGTAAAATAACGCAATGTGCAATTATTGTCTGAGTGAGTCCAGCTATGTAATGTTTCCAGTTATTTAGTTTTGCCGTTGATATGATCTACTTGCATTAACTGAACAGCCTATTGTAAACTGAATTACTACACAGATTCTAACTCAGAATCAGCGTTGCGCGTTGCGCCTCCTGTCAGTACCTGTCAACAGGGAAGCTAATGATCCAACACAATTAACATTGTATGTAAACAAAACAAAACATGGCTGGGTGATAATAAAGACTTTTCTTCAGGAAATTGCATGAATGGAGTGTTGTTTTTAATCATTTAAAGTTTATGGTCATTGAGTATTTTCAGTGTAACCTAATTTACAATTGTCATCTACCTCCTTCTCAAGGATGACATTTAACATGTGGAGTTTGCGTTCCACTTACCTTAACCTCAATCACAAGGACAACAGATTGACCTTTGTTTAGAGATTGAATCTAATTATGCTGATTGGGTTGTTGGGCAGCAGGAATTCTGTCTGTATTAAGAACATTGGTGATTTGCTTAGCTCTACAGCAAAAGCTCAACTTTTCATGTGCTATACACGAGGTGTTACTTCCTACATGAAGATTTTGTGAGGGGAGAAAGCCAACTTTAGTTCCCAAAATGATTTAAAGGGTCCTGCTCCTCTCTCCTCTCCCTCTCTAATCTCTCCTCCCTTTCCCTCATCTCATTGAGCAGCCTCTCCTCTCTCTCTTCTGCTTTCCTCTCCTTTTCCTCGTCCCTCCTCTCCAGCTGCTCAAACAGTCTCATCCACGGTGGTGGTCTCCTGCGTCTTTTGGCAGGTGGAGAGGAGGTGGAGGAGTGGGAGAAGGAGGAAAGAGAGGAGGTGCTGGGTTTGGGAGGAGAGCCAGTGGCAGGAGAGGAGATGGAGGCTGAGGTGGAGGCAGAGGTGGAGGCTGAGATGGAGGCAGAGTCAGAGGCAGAGGTGGAGGCAGAGGTGGACAAAGAGTCAGAGGTAGAGGTGGAGGCAGAGGTGGAGGCAGAGTCAGAGGCAGAGGTGGAGGCAGAGTCAGAGGCAGAGGTGGAGGCAGAGGTGGAGAAAGAGTCAGAGGCAGAGGTGGAGGCAGAGGTGGACAAAGAGTCAGAGTTAGAGGTGGAGGCAGAGGTGGAGGCAGAGTCAGAGGCAGAGGTGGAGGCAGAGGTGGAGGCAGAGGTGGAGGCAGAGGTGGAGAAAGAGTCAGAGGCAGAGGTGGAGGCAGAGTCAGAGGCAGAGGTGGAGGCAGAGGTGGAGGCAGAGGTGGAGGCAGAGTCAGAGGCAGAGTCGGAGGCTGAGGTGGAGGCAGAGTCAGAGGCAGAGGTGGAGGCAGAGTCGAAGGCAGAGGTGGAGGCAGAGGTGGAGGCAGAGTCAGAGGCAGAGGTGGAGGCTGGGGTGGAGGCAGAGGTGGAGGCAGAGTCAGAGGCAGAGTCGGAGGCTGAGGTGGAGGCAGAGTCAGAGGCAGAGGTGGAGGCTGGGGTGGAGGCAGAGGTGGAGGCAGAGGTGGAGGCAGAGATGGAGGCAGAGTCAGAGGCAGAGTCGGAGGCTGAGGTGGAGGCAGAGTCTAAGGCAGAGGTGGAGGCAGAGTCGAAGGCAGAGGTGGAGGCAGAGGTGGACAAAGAGTCAGAGGTAGAGGTGGAGGCAGAGTCAGAGGTAGAGGTGGAGGCAGAGGTGGAGGCAGAGTCAGAGGCAGAGTCGGAGGCTGAGGTGGAGGCAGAGTCAGAGGCAGAGGTGGAGGCTGGGGTGGAGGCAGAGTCAGAGGCAGAGGTGGAGGCAGAGGTGGAGGCAGAGGTGGAGGCAGAGTCGAAGGCAGAGGTGGAGGCTGAGGCAGCAACTCACTCTTCAGAGGGAAAGGACATGACAGCTGCTCCCTGGGAGGATGACAATGCCAGGGCCAGCGGGGTGATGATGTGGCCCCAAGCACCTCATCCATAAAACTGTACCACTTCCAGGAAGCAGCTGTCATCTCCCCTCCCTCTGTACTGACCCGTGTTTTAGGGGTCCTCAGCTCCTGAGGAAACATGAGAATACACAATATTTTAGTGAACAATATCCATTCAAATACACAACCACATGTTTCCATTGTAATGTTAAGCAATGAGGTATATTTTATGTTGTTCAGTTCAAATTCTATTGGCATATTGAATATTCTCAATGTTGCAGTGTGAAATGTGTCACAGGAATCCTGTGTGCCACAGTTGGCAGTGCCTCCTGGACCAGTAGCATGAATGGTCAAATAAACAGCATGTCAGTCTTGATCATGTAATGTGCAAGTTGTATGAGTTACATACTTTGTACTTCTGCTTCAAATTCTCCCACCTCTTCTTCAGGGCGAGGATGGGGACTATCCCTCCACCCCATCTCTTTTGCACATGCTCTAATGAGAAGTGTAGTGTAATTGTAATTGGTAAATACCAGGATACAATCACTGTTAAGCTTATCTTCGAGTTAGATCATCACACAACATAGCACTGACATCGACTTTTAAGGCAAAATGGTATAGATTGTGAGCCCATATAGCCTGTCATAGCTCATGACAGCACCTACCCATGAAATCTACAGATGCAAATGGTATAACTTACTTGAAACCCTTGCGGGCAGCGTTCCGCTGTCCGGTGAACAGATTGACGTTCTGGGCTCTCCACCGGATCAGCTGCCGCGTGTGGTCATCTGTCCCTGTACAGCAAAAGCACTTGTTTTCAACATCCATACAATAATCATGAGTAAATGTTTTTGAGCTTCTGATAACTCATTGCAGAGACTTTACGTGATATGCACTGTGGCTCAGTGAATAATACAAAACGTCACATTGCATATAAACAATTTAACAACTTCACATTTGAAAGGCACGTTGCCTGAACCAGCTGCATCCATGGTCATTTGTTTTGCTTTGGAAGCGCACGTGAAGTGACCATAGGAAGTGACGTTTTATATTTACGTTTCTCACACAGCATTGTGGGAGTTAGTATACAATTCATTTCCTGAAAGCACGCATCCGATCCATACTGCATGAAACCCAGAAGTTAGTATCCATACTGAAATGTTCAGTATACTGCGCGGACCCAAAAAATGCATACTGAATGACCACGAAAGTTCAGTATACTGAAACTCCATACTGAATAGTACGTACTGCATACTGAACTGTGACAATTCAGAAAGGGCCCCGGTTTCCGGTCCTGGAATGCGGAAGTAAAAAACAGCCCATCTGGAGGCAATTAACATAATTAAAATAAAACAAGTCTACAATCTCTCATATATTCTGTCATTTATACACAATGCCCTGGGTTGAAATATGATTGGCATGCTATTAAAGTTGTAGTATACTTTTCAGACATGCAGGTTGAACTTTTACTCAGCTGTGAATAATATGTAGTAATAGAGCAAGCCAAGG